TGGGGGGGGGGGGGGGGAGAGTTATACAAACTGCATGAGATGCAGCTGACTTTCAGAGACAATGTTATCCAGTGCACAGGGCAAACTGTGTAGTATCCATAGACGAAGGAGGAATGCAAGGTTACTAAATATGGTTCTTTACACAGGAGACCTATAAACTGTGCAACCTGTATAAGAAAAATCTGCTGTTTAATTTCAGAAACATGGAGTAGTCCCCATTTTCCACAGCCTCAGAGTTATAACTGTAAAACCCCATCTTCCTGGACTCTAGCGGAATCAGGTCTAAGAAGGTATATACTAGTACGGAAGTTCTCATGGAAAGCTATTTCATGGTGTGGTTGTGCTGCTTTTTCAAACTCCGCCAGCAGGTAATGCTGCTAGTGAAATCTGTATTCACAGCTGTTCGCTCCATAAAACTCAAACTGTTGGGTACACCCGTTTATTTCTGAAACATCCCCTCTAATTAATGCAGACAGTGATAGACGTCTAGTCTTTTTAGATGTGTAACTGATATCTTACATCTGTATCCTCTTCAGACATATTTCACAAATTAATACTTTACAGTATGCAATATCTCCACCATTTACAGCATATTCAAATTTTCAATGCACCTGTCATTGAAACTTAAGGTGGAAGGATACCCAAATATTCAATTTTTTAAGCTTTGAGAGCTCTCATCTTCACTTCTGTCCATGACTCCAGCAGAGTTATCTCACCACACTCTTACTGTTGTAGAGAGGGCTCTGCCATGTCACCATCATTTTCATGTGACTGTTACTCCTGGATCCTCCACAACAGGAAGTTGTGTTAATGGCAAGTAAAGAACTTTGCAACACATTAGCACAAATTAATTTGGTTGAGAGCATTTTTATAGAGTAAGGCATTGTGCCAAACATACTGAAAATAGATTTGAGAGTTACAAAAACTTTATTTTGCATGAAAAAGGGAATAGTTACAGTCATCAAGTACCATAAATGTATAGAGCAGCTATGTACATATCTCAATTTCCTAATATTACCTCTTTTAAATATAGAGTCATAAAACCATCAATGATTCCATCCTGTTCCAGGCCAATGATAAGACCCACCACGCTGGTAAAAGCAAATACTGCATATACTAGAAAAGTAAAAACAGCATGATGGTTAAAAATACAGCACGGCCATTATGAAGACAACTTTTTAAAGATGGGTAAAGATAGAATCTGGTTATCACACTGTGCATGTGCTTTATCTAATATTGATGGATTATCTGCATAAATAGCATGCGGGAGTTGTTAGTGATCATGTCTACCTAGGGTGGTACCTTTGGCACAATAGTGATCAAGCACAAAAATCCAACTCAGATGATCAAATATTCCATGCGGGGTTGCCTATTGTGATACATAGGCATCCACAGAAATAAAGGCCAATTGCCTTTCACCTTTGAGAAAACTCCGGAAAACATCCTTTGTAACGCGGCAGCTTGAGCTAAACTAAAATGGATTCCTATTCTGAGTTCTCTTGGTGCGTTGACACTTCCTGTGGATCTTGTTGAGTTAGCAACCTGCAATACTGTTTGACTGGGTCCCAGAAGGTATGTATTTTGTATAAAGCAACATTTGAAACAGAACACTAAGCAGCACACTCTCTAGGATCTAAATGTATGCCAGCTAAGTGATAACATATCCTAAATAAAAATTGGATTTTCGCTAATAATTTTGTTTGGTTCATATGCCTTTCATAATGACACTGTCCTTCCTTCTGGAGGGTGGCCACTTCCGTTACCCATGGTCCCTGTGTGTTGTAAAATAGCCACCGATCCAAGCTAACTCCCGTGATGGACTACAATCTCATGTTTAGTTAGACTATACCTTCAGTACAAATTAGCTATCACAGGAGCAAGGTTGGAGCGGTGACTACTTTACAACACACACAGGGACCATTGGGAACAAAAGTAGCCACCTTCCAGAAGAAAGGACAGTGTCAGCAACAATTCAGAGATGATTTGAGGATCTACAAAGAATAAGATTAATTTTTGTTAATAGTTAAGGTACTTGAATGCATTTTCAAGATTTTAACTCCTGAGTTTAGTGTCACTTTAAGAAAATCCATAGAATAAATACTTAATTTATTCATATGTGTACACTAGATTAATGTTTTACAATGAACACATAGTACAGAACAGTGACGTGTGGTACCTCTTGCTCAGAGGAAGGGAGGAGACAGGTAGGAGCCTGCCTCATCTGCCTCCCCTGACCGCACGTCCCTGGTACAGAAACATTAACAAAACACAAGTCAAGAAGAAGGCTTCCTGTGGACACGTACCATAAAACAACGGATCCTTGGGTGGTTTCTGAATGACAAGCAGACGGGATAATAATGCTATGAACACCATAACCCCAGCACTAGCAACTGTAACTGGCCAGCAACTGGAAAATATAAAATACTTGACAGATAAAAGGACACATAGTGAGCAACTGCAGCACTGTACAGAAATAAATTATTTTATGTTAAGGTTGCTTTTTTTTATTCTTTTTTATTTTAAACATTACCCATAAAAGTAGTGGATCCAAGCTCAGATTATTAAACCATTTATAAAGTCAGCACATACAAACCCCACACTAATTAAAACGTTCTCCTTTCTTTCATCCACTAAAATAGGAGATGGCGTACATTCACTAATTAGATTCACTAATTACCCATCATTGTAAAGCAAATATGTTGCGCTCGGTCTATGTGAACAAACAATACACTAAAGTGTTTGTAAACGTTCTATCTGTGTATTAATGTGGCAATCCGTGTGGAAAAATTAAAATAGAAAAGGAATAAAAATAAAAGTAAAAATAAAGGTTCAAATCATTAATATGATAAACAATCAAACACTGAAACCTTCTCAGTTCATGCCAATTATCAACATCACTGGTTTGGTGTGTACATCTCAAACATGTGAACCTCTGAATTGCGATATAATGTAACAGCTCAATAGAAACATATTTCAACCGTGATATTAGTTTATACTGTGAACAAAATAAGAAAGAAAGAGGGGCATTGAGGTTGGTGGCCCCCCAATCCTCCTTGAAAACCGTGCAGATGAATTAAAACTCTAAAGTAATAGCAGCAAAGAAACAGACATTACCCATAATGTTTCCCGTCATTTGACTGGACTCCTATCTGTGCCTCTGTGATATGTTCTATTCACATCAATATGACTAGGTCATACAAACCTGTACACTTATATGATATTTGGAAGCAGTTGTGTATTTCATGTTTCTGTATCCTCAGCTTTATGTTTCCATAATTCATTAAAAATATTGGACAAGAAAACAGGAGATACTGCTGAAGTGAAGCACTGGGCTCTTAAAGGAGAACTATGAGGTGAGTGCTTTTCACTCCCCTCATAGTCCTAGCCGACCTGTGACAATGAGACTGTCACAGGTCGGCTCAGTAGATCGGGAGGTGAGCGAACACATACCGGCGTTCGCTCAGCTGGATGGATCCAGACATAATTGTCGGGATCCGCTTCAGCTGCGGCTTCTCAGTATACCGCGAGCTGTAGCTAGTTTGTGTCCTCCCGTTACCCTAAGGAGAACTATGGGGAAAAGCCCTGACCCCATAGTTCTCCTTTAATGATAAATCCATCAAACACACGTCACTGGCACAGCAAGTTTAGAGAGTTTGAGACAAGGATTATTCTTGATGCAGACTGAATGTTGGCTTTCATATGCTAGTCACACACATGGCAATTGTCTCTTTAAACCACTCACTACTAGATTTTCACATCATAAAAGGGATCAAGTAGACTAAAGGCAACCTTATAATGATGTATTTGTTTATATGGCATATATGTTACCATTATCTGTTCGTCTTTGTGAGGCTACTGTGAGGCTACTGGTTCGGGTCTTTGGAGGCTACTGAAAGGGGGCACAGCATCCATAATGCAGGTGTGTGTGTCCCAACTGCCATGGCTAAATGGAGCACATGCTAAACCAACTGTACCCAACCACTCCCTGAAAGTATTAGTGGATGTGGCACTGCTGGGATGTGCATTGGTGACTTTGTATAGTTGCTAACACTAGTTTGAGTACTTTAATGACACTGTAGACTGCATTGTATTTTTCCACTATCAAACGTAAATATATTTTACGACCTTGAGAGCTGCTTTTGTTCTTTTTATTAAATATTTCTACAGAAACCCCATCCTGTTATCCTACTTAGATTGTACTTAGGCCAGGAATGGACACAATTAATTCAGGAGCCAGGATGTCCAATCCAGTTGCCAGCAGAATTTTTTTTTAGCAGCCATCTCTATTGACAACAACAAGAGAAAACCTCAATAGTTAGGCACCATCTGTAATTTTTTAGCATTTAGATTTGGCTACTTGGCTCCTGATATTTGTCCAGCCCTGACTTAGATCTCAGATTTTATATGCATCTCAAGTACCACATATTATTCATGCAATACACCAACCAGCACCAGGAAGACCATTCATAAGCCAGAACCCTTCACTGCGCATCCAGGAGAGCAGGGGCGCCCACAACTTTTCGTCTGGAGATCTACTTTTCAAATGACGAGCTCAATGAGATCTACGAACGAAAAAACATCTGCGTTCAAGGGTGGGAGGGTGCGTCGGCATCGCAGCCAGGCCCCTGGGCATGTTCGGCTGATCCGAAGCCACACGAAGCAAGCCGATGTACGGCTGATTTCAGCCGATATACGGCTGAAATCAGCCATACCAGCCTGAAGTGAATAGCCGAACAGTGTTCGGCTCACTTCACTTCTGATCGGTCATTCACTCGGCTGCCCTCGGCAGCTTTGTGAATAGACCCCTTAGGCTTCATTTACACCTAAACATTAGGTGCGCTTTGGTATTCCTGCTTCAGGAACGTGCAAATTTCTGCAGCAGTAATCCCAAACCTGCCATTTAGTAGTGGCAGCTGTCACCTGTTCAAGTTAATGATCGTGTGACAGCGGCTGCATTTGAAAGCGGCAGAACGCTGGCACACTGCATATAAACGTATATTCCTGTGTAAAAAGAAAAGCATGCTGCTGAACTTTTTTTTTAAAAAGCTCTGGAACTGAACACAGTGGTGTGAACTTACCTCATTTAATACCATTGGAATTACTGTGTATGCCTTTTAGGTGCAGATTTTAAAAAAAACGCACTGGTCTGGAGATGGTGTGAACAAGCCCTCATTGTATTGGCATACACAATAATCAAAGTAATAAAAAAGGAAAAATAAAATTTATACTGTCATATTTAAAAACAAACACCCCTGAGGTCTATAATCCTTGGCTCATAGACCTATAAGTCAATAATAACGTTTTGCAAAGACCTCCTTAAAATATAACCTAGCTGCCATTCAGTGATTAAAATGTTATTTTTGTAACATAAACGGAATAACAGGTTTATTCTGGAGGAGATATTTGAAAGATGTTTTTATACATTTATTGGTGTATGTAAGGAGAAGGAATAAGAAAGTAATTCAAAAGAGAAGAGAAGAAAGCATCTCCAAGACCAGCCGTGGCCATTCCTTATAGTTCTTCCAATAAATGAATTGAAGTATATTATCGCATAGTAATGAAAACTGCACATCGCTCTTTATTGGAGCTTTATAAATGTCCTCTGGTTTCACCACTCTTTAATGGTGTGATCAGCAGTACTTGAAGACTGTAAGCCTCTGAGCAATGGGGATTTCCCAGAACCGAGTGCAAATAAGCACTAAAATGAAATGCATTATAACATTTGGCCATATATAATATGACCTTTACAAGTTAGTCATTTTGATTTTTTAAGCCTAGATGACAACAGTGTCCCTGTTTAACTTTGCCAGTGTCAAACACAATGTTATTCAATGTTATTCTATCCCTAAGTCAGGCAGCTGATGGCAGATGAGTATGGAATGATAGAGACTCATCTACAGAAGCTGAAGATATGAATGAGCAGTCATGGAAAGTTCTACCAATAGGGTATAAGGCACCACAAAATGATGAATCTAAAACAATGCATTTATTATGGCATGATAACACAATTAAAGCCAACCACAGTCTATTCAGTAAGGGTTTTTTTAAATAACTAATACTACTCTGTTTTATGCATTTGGTATTTTCCACTTACCTATTAACAGTAGACACATAGTTGAAAAGGTAAGTAACAGGAATGGCTGATAAAGACAACATAAATACACCGGTTGCAGCAGGCGCGCTCATGGTGGTAGAACTTGTGCCTCCTTCAGGAAAGCAGCATCTCCAGCTCTTTGTCTCAAAAGATGGTAGAGTTTATGATGTAGGGCACCTCTTGAAACAGTTGTGCTATGGCAGTGCTACCAGCTTGCTATGCTTTCTGCACTCTGATCAACCTCTTAGAAAACCTTCTCTTTTAGATGCAATGCTTTCTGCTCGGCACACACAAGGTTAAACACACGGGACACCCGAGCCTCCCCTTGTTCTGTACAGTGACACAGCTGACTGCTGTTTTCAGAGTTCGAGCTGCTTCAAATTCCTCCAGCGAGTGGCTGGCTCAGGCCAGTGCCAGTACAATACATCCAGAGAGCAGTGACCTCATTTGATTGAGTAAACTGGGAGCAAATCAGCAGCTGAATCAATGTGACATCATACACCCATGTACAGGCCTCCAGAAAAGTGTACAGATGTTTCATTTTTATTACAATTAATATAAATAGTAAGATTGTGGAATAGTTACTAATATTACTATTGTTAATAGTAAGAAGTGAATATTAGATGGTATCTATGGTCAAAAACAAAAAATAAATGTGTATTTCTATTTTGAATTTCTATAAGTTCTATCCCACTCCTAATAACCGTATTGATCTAGAAGTTTGTAAATGTACTTATTGAAGATGCCCATAGGATGTACTTCCTCAATGCACTGACACAATTTCACTCAATTTCACTCAGCCCTGTGAATATGCACTTCTTGTGTCACCATTCTAACTAGCCTGCCTTCTGAACTACAACTCAATGTCCGAAATCCCAACAATGTAACGTTATCATTGCTTGCTGGAAGCAATGCATGATGGGATCTGGAGTCTTGATAAATCACATCAGGCAGCAGGAAAAGAGACACAACGCACACTGGGAATCCATGAAGTTGTGGCAAGTGATGGGCAGACAGAAGGCAGCACTCACTACATAAAAGGGATTTTTTTCAAGTAAGCTTTGGTTGCATTTTAAAAAACAAGTCTAGTATGTGTTCCTATTACAATGGGGATGTTATAACAGGATAGTATATGATGGGACTTTTAAACTCCTCAACAATAGAAATTCAAGCTGTACTCCAGGCACAATAACCCTCATTTAAATATATCCCTCAATAGCCACAGAGGATATACATCCACTTTGTGTGCAACAAATAACTTTCCAAACTCAGATATGAATATAAAAAGTGTTGGTGACATCATCACTGTGTTGTACATAGCTTGCACAGAGAGCAGTGCTGCAGGAGAGGCCCCTCAAGTCCTCCTACTACATGCTGCCTGAGGAAAGTTACATGGGGGTGGGTTTGAGACCAGTCACTCTGCCCAAGGTGAGAGAGATGCAGTGGCTGGTCTTCATTACCTGAAGTTTCTGCATAAAGGAAAAGTGCTTGTGCTGTGTCATGCTGGATTACTACACAGATCTGGAAGAAATGGACAAAGAACACCAAGACACAAGAATACACATGCCTCTTGTATTTATACAATCTTTGTTTAAGCTCTCTGGCGGTATGATTATTCAGGATTTTAGCATCCCAAAGCGGTGCATTGTTTTTCATGGAAATTTGTTGTTTTATATTGTAGGCCTGTAATTCTTAGTAAATCTTAGGAATAACTCACCTAAATATCGTACAGCAGAGGACGCAGCGGCCTCGCGGTGACAAGGTAAGTGACACTTTTCTGTGCATTCCCGAATCTGGCTCGGGGTACCGCTCCTGGTATTGAACATTAACCCCGAGCCAGACTCGGGAATACCGCCAGGGAGGTTAAACTGGATTTCAGTTTTAAGCTTTGAGATGCATACCTACTTATAACTTCAGTTTTTTTTATATGGACATTGATGTACAGCAGTGATCTATCCCATTCTCCTTTGGTGGTAGCCTGGTGATCCTGGAACACACACAAGACGCATCGCCGAACTTGGCCTTGGGGCGGCAGGGAGAGTAAATCCGGCCCTGCCCAGGACCCCTTCGGTTCGGCAGAACTGAAGGGCTGCTGTATTCACTATAGCCCATACAGCTCCCGAAGTCGGCCGAGCGGCTCAGCCGAGCCGAAGGCATATGCTTCAGCTCGACTGAGCCGAGGTGAAAGCCGAAGCTGGCGGAACGGCTGGCCATTGGCGGGCCGACAGCCTGCTACTGACTGCTGGGCAGAGCCAGCCGTCCTCTCACGGCTGGCTCCAGCCACTTGCACAGACAAATCAGCGTCCCTGGTTACCATCAGGTCCCCTCTAGTGATTGACAGCAGCAGTGGGCGGGTGCAATGGCTAGTTTGCTATTGACTATTGCAAAGTGAAATAGCTAATAGGAATCTAGCTATGCATTCCTATGGGGTTTTTTTATTCTGACGGCTGCAGAACCGCCCGGCCAATAGAAAACAGTTGGGCGGAGCTAGCTGTCACTGCTAGCTCCGCCCAATTGTTTTCTATTTTATTTTTTCTACTTTTTAAACTGTTTTTCTATTCTGCTCGGTACCACAGAGGTACCGAGCAGAATAGCCCAGCCAAATGCCGCTCGGCTAAGTTCGGGAACTGTACGGGCTATTATCCCGTACAGCAGCCCTCCGGTTTTACTGAACCGAAGGGGTCCTGGGGCCAATGCTAGCCGAAGGATCGGCCGAAGCTACGGCTAGATCCTTCGGCTGCTTCGTGAATAGACCCCTAACTGTAAGTCAATGCACGCCGGACAGACATCGTGGGACAGGAAGATACAGCAGTCTTCACTGGCTCAGAGACCGGCACCAGCGCTGGAAAGACTGCTGGAAACAAGGGGAAATAAGAAGATGATCAGATCAAGAGGCATCATTTCAGGTAAGTCCTTACAGCAGCATTGGGGGGGAATTGTGACTTTAATTTCACTTTAATCAACAAAGTATGTGATAGCAATACCCAGAAGAGGAATGACTTTGGACTTGGATCTTTTCTCTTATAATTATAGTGACTAGGATTAATATTCCAAAAATGGCTTAGACAGCTCTGCTAAATAAACCTATCGCAGGAGTCCTCAAGTCCTCTCGGAGACTTATCTTCTTTATATTTTTGGCAGCTAAAATAGCAATTGCTAAGTCATAGAAAACCTCCACAGTGAGCTCTATTCTCATTATTTGTAAATCGTCAGCAACCATTACAATAATCCTTGGTGGTCCTTGCTCAGGCGCTTCCTGTTATAGGGTGGCAAGACTCTTTCCCTGTTTCCCAATTGTTCTCCCTGCCACAAGCTTCTTCAATGAAGATGAAAAGCGGTCGTGCTTATGCACATTGCTCACTGATCCACTGTTGTCACCATCAAGAAACCTGCCTGAAAACTGCCACTCAGCTATCACTGCAGTTTAAACAGGTAGGCAGGAAATTACCACAAAGAGGCTGCAAAAGATTAGCAGAAATGAGAGCAACAGAAGATAAAAGATAGGTAAAAACAAGTATTTTGCAATTGTTTATGATACTAGGGCTGCGAATAACGATTATTTTCATAATTGATTATTTGGCCGATTATTTTTTAAAATAAAACACACAAATGGTGTGTTACAAATATAAAGTTTACTTCAGAAAAAAAACAATATGCATATTTTTTGCAATTGCACAACACTGGAACGCATGACATTGCAGTACTACACGTTCCAGTGCGGGCGATCACGCAGGAGGTGCGTATAGTGTATTTTCATGCTTTTCAAGCACCCGGTAACGAGATGTATTAGCTACAGGTACAAGGTGACAGTGTCGATTTTTGATACTATGATCATCTGAAATCACTTTTTTTTATAGACATCCGGGTGTATGAGAAGAATTTATCATCAAGTTCTCTGAGTTAATTTTACATGATCCAAAGCTGCTCAATGTTTTCTATGTGCCTTGTCGGTGACCAGCATTGAAAAATGCCAGTTTCAATACAGTTTCTGTTTTTAAAAAAAAATCAAAGATATTTATTGATTTTGACATAACGGAACACATTTGTGGAGGCAGTAGTAGCACGTGGTTACAACATACAGCACACAAATCAAAGAGTTACAGAACTGTATTAGGATAGGCAGAGCTCAATTTTCAAGCAGAATGACAGATATCGCTGGTGGAGTAGACTCGCTAGTCGAACAGATCAAGTACATGTTAGGGTCCACATGGATACTGGGGGGCCCAACAAACTTGCAGGGTTATAAGAAGAAAGTTGTTCTTTTGTGAGTCACTGCATCACAGAGCCGCCATTCGCGCTGTGAGAGAACATACTAAACCACTGCAAACATTAAATATTAAAGGTTGCGCCCAAGAAGGGCAGTTGGAAAGAAAAAGAGAGAGAAGAAGAAGAAAGAGTAGGAAAGACTAGGGTGGGTAGAGAGAGGGCTTACCAGGGTCAGTTCCTTCACGGTCATACGTGGAGGAAGTTCATTGTCGAAGCGAAGTTTTAAAGTGGTAGCAGGTTGCTGTCAAATGAGTGCGACTAGAGATATTGGAGCCATGGGTGCCATGTCTTCCAGTCTGGCAGTGGTACGTTCATTAATGAAGGTCCAGTGGAGTCTGTGTTTTACTTCTGCAAAAGGGTTAACAGTGGACTTCCAGGATTTTGCCAATGTTTGCTTGGCTGCCGTGAGACCGTGCATCAGAAACTTATGATGGACATGAGTCCTGTTTTCTGGAGGGAGGTTGAGTAACACCACCTTCGGGTCAAACGGCAGCGCCTTACCTATCAGATTTGACAAGAAGTGCAGTACACGGTGCCAAAAAGCATGTGCTGTCGGACAGGACCACCAGGTGTGTATATAAGACCCCACTTCTCCACAATCTCGGAAGCGTGTCCCGGTACGAATGCCCGCATACGACTCGGGACAAGGTACCAGCGGTAGAGCAATTTGTAGCTGGTCTCTAGTGCGGTCACATTCTGGGAGCTGGATTTGGCCGTTTCCCATATAGATTGCCAGTCAGTTTCAGCAATGGGGCAACCAAGGTCTCTCTCCCAGGCAGATATATAGATTGGGGGATTAGTGGTGAGGTTAGCTAATAAACAGTCATATATGGAGGAGATTAGACCAGGGAAATGTTTCTGTTTTTAAAACATAATGTTATTCATTAAATTATAAAAGTTGGTTGAATTAGATCTAATAAGTGGAACACTCAGCTTTCACTTCTTTTATTTAGTTAT